TATATTTAATGTGAATTAATTTTGTTTTGATAACTTCCTGACATTCCTTGGGATGATAGTACACACACAGGTGTTGGAAAAGCAGTTGAAATCACAGCATTACAGAATAGAGGTGTTGCTGCAAACATTGTTTTTAAATAGCAATATGACAAGAATACCACATTTGGAGTTGGAAAACGTGGGCTTGAGGCCAACTCACTGCCTGTGAGATTTTAGGCAAGTCACAGATCTGTGGGCTCAACTTTATAAAATGACAAAGTTAGACTAACAGGTGTTCTTAACCTGGGATTTGTGAATTTGCTTTAAAATATTTTTATTGTAGTACTTGTTTTAGTTTAATTGGTTTCTTTTTTTAGGAATGTGTGTATCTATATCTATATCTATACATAAATATACATACATATACTAGTGATTAAAAAAAGTGACAATCTCTGTCTTCAAGGACCTTTTAAAAAAATATTTGGGGGCAGCTAGGTGGTGCAGTGGATAGAGCACTGGCCCTGGAGTCAGGAGGACCTGAGTTCAAATCTGGCCTCAGATACATAACACTTCTTAGCTGTGTGACACTGGGCAAGTCACTTAACCCCAGTTGCCTCACCAAAAAAAAAAAATTTTTTTTTTTTTACAGTTTTCAACATTCACTTCCATAAACTTTGAGTTTTCAATTTTTTCCCCCTCCCTCTCCTCCCTCCTCCCCAAGATAGCATGGAACCTGATATAGGCTCTACATATACATTCGTATTAAACACTAGTCATGTTGTAAAGAAGCATCAGAACCAAGGGAGGGGAACCAGAGAAAGAAGAAACAAAACTAAACAACAAAAGAAAAAGATCAAATGGTATGCTTCCATCTACATTCAGACTCCAAAGTTCTTTGGATGTGGATAGCATTTTCCATCATGAGTCTTTTAGAATTGGCTTAGATCTTTGCATTGCTGAGAAGAGCCAAGTCTATGAAAGTTAGTGCACAATGATGCTGTTACTATGTACAATGTTCTTCTGGTTCTGCTCACTTCACTCAGCATCAGTCCATACAAGTCTTTCCAGGTTTTTCTGAAGTCAGCCTGTTCCTCATTTCTTACAGCACAATAGTCTTCCATTACGTTCACATACCACAACTTGCTCAGCCATACTCCAATTGATGAGCATCTCCTCAATTTCCAATTCTTGGCCAAAACAAAAAGAGCTGCTATAAATATTTTTGTATGTATAGGTCCTTTCCTTGTTCTTATGATCTCTTTGGGATACAGCCTTAGAAGTGGTATTGCTGGGTCAAAGGGTATGCATAGTTTATAGCCCTTTGGGTATGGTTCCAAATTGCTCCCTAGTTCACAGCTCCACCTACAATGCACTAGTATAAGGATCTTACTTTCTCATGGGGAGAGATAAGTAGAGTGGAGTAGTAGCCAAGGAGGAGTAGTTTGAAAAGGGTTTGAAAAATTAAATGGATGGTGAGTGGAGACATAGGACAGTTGATTGGAATATCCTGCAGTAGCAGTGACTGATTTGGTTATGGTCATGATGGTGTAGCTTGGGTAAGAATCTACCAATTACAATGGTGTGGTTATTTCATTGGACAAGCAATTTTCATGCGGATTTTCTCTTGTACCCACAATAATTATCTGAGTGTGCTTCTATGGACATTAGGCTGAATTGGAACCTCCGAACTTGTCCAGACAAAACTGGATCCAGCTGATGTCTTCCACCGTTACTTTGTTCTCTGTCGGTTGAGGGCTTGAATTCTCTGCCATACACATGTGTTTCATCTGTTTCACATTCTGGTTTTAAAGAATGGCTATCACTCCAAGGAAATGTGCAAAGGTCTCGAAGAGCACACATCCACGACTGTTAACAATATCCCAGCAGTTGTTGGTGTCATTCAAGGATTATTCAAGTCCCACAAGGAAATGCAGGACCAATTACACCAAAACACAGAACAAAGTGTTGCTGGGGAGAAAAAAAATCACCAAGAAGTGACAAATTAATCACTGCAAAATCACCTAATTAATATTCAGAAAACAGGCAAAAGAGAAAACTTTTTTTTAAAGGGTCTTACTGTTGCTATGAAGGGGAAAAATGGTGGTATAGACAAGATAATACAAAGATTGGAGTATTCAATATTGAAAAAGATAATTTTTGTTTTTGAAGCATACTTTTTTCTTCAGGGTTATGGCAAAACCATTGTCAGAAGTCCAGAAGAGCCTGTTAGATCTGGGCATTTTTATCAGAACTCTTAAAACATTCTTTTGAAAAATGAGGGATTTTTTTTTTTACTCCCAGTAGGACTTGGAAGATTTGTCCCAATTCAGGGAATCATGAACTCTAATAAATATACTGACATAATGAAAAGGAGGATTACTCTGGAAGTGCAGGGAAATTCAAAATGGAAAGAAAATACTACAATATAACTTTATACAATGTCACATCATGAGAAATTAAGATATGGATGCAAGAGATGGAAATAAACCTTCTTCAGTGGCCTGGGAACTCACCTGCCTTACCTAATTGGAAAGGAATGGGTATAATCAAGGAGAGACTTGGAAAAATGAACTATTTGTCAAAGATATGGTTCTTATCTAATGAGATAAAAATTTGCTTTCATAATGAATCAATGTGTCAACATCTTGTGATCTCGGTGCCAAATAATGTAAAACAAGGAATTGCAGCAAAAGGACATAATTGCAAATTAAAAGTTAAAGTGTAAAAACATAATATGTTAAGTTTATACACTGTCCCCATTAACTTCCACAGAACTCCCTGTGTGACCTGAAACCTCTCTTCCATTTTCTGGGCCTCCATTTCTTTATTTGGAAAATCATAAAGTCCATCTCTAATGACCTAATGATCTCTCATGTTCCTTCCAAGTCCAAAATCCTAGGATTTACTCTTTTCTTCATGTTTCTTCCATTCATTTTACTATGAATTAGGGGAGTGTTGGGGGTAGGGGATTGGGAAAGCTAATAAGCATCCTCATGAAATAAAATTAGTTTTCTATAAAACTTTAAAAAATTTTTCAGCACCACATTTGAAAGAAAAATTATGATCTGAGTGAAAATAATCTTCAATACAAGCTGGAAAAAGAATGAAAAAGGACTAGGGTTGAACACCATCTTTTAGTCTGAGTCAACGTTTGTTATTTATTAATCTCTGCCGTTCATTCTGGTACCTCTCAGTCACCCCCCCCCCACGCCACCCCCATTCAGCCCAGCTTGCCGGCAACTTTTGAGGCCCCAGCAAGAAAAGCAAAGTGCTGAAGTCAATGGGTTACAAATTGTCTCTGTGATGGAGAGACTTTTCAACTGCTGTGTCCTGGAGAGTTAACAGTTATTTTTCTCAACTGTGTTCAAGATGTTAAAACCTGACCCTTTTGCATTACTTGGGGAAAGGGAAGGGCAAAAGGTCCCTTCCCACCTTATCCCTCCCCTTTTCAAACCATCCCCCACCTCCTCAAACCACCACTAATCTCAGGAAAGCATGGAAAGGGCTGGAGTAGAAACTGAGTGTTTGAGGCCGAGTTACTGAGTCCATGAACTCAGTAAATTGTTTTTTACTGGAGAAAGGAGGTTGAGGCAAGGGGAAAGGGGGGGGGTGAGATTAGGAGTTGGGGAAGTGGAAGGGGGGAAAATTAGAGTGAAAGATAGGAGCACGGTAGCAAGCATCAATAAATGTTTTTTAAGCACCTACCTTGCCTGGCACTGTGCTAAGAGCTGGGGGTTATTGTTTGTCCTTCATTCTCAAAGAGGACCGTGACATCAGGAAGGTGATGCCATGACTTGTAAGTGAATTGGATTTAAGGGAGGGAGGGCTGTGCAGAGTCACCAGCCCCACTTTCTCCCCCAAAGCCATCCAGGTCCAGTGGCCAGATAGAGATCAGGATGACTGGAGATGCCCCCCTTCCCCCCAGCTAGGGGATTCAAAGAGGCAAAAGACAGCCCCTGCCCTCAAGGAGCTTACAATCTAATGGAGGAGCCAGCACGCAAACAAATATAAACAAAACAAGATATATAGAGGATATGTACATGACTCTGTGAACAAACTGTCCATGGGGTTTTCTTGGCAAAGCTATTGAGTGGTTTGCCATTTCCTTAACCAGTGGATCCATTTTGTCAGGCTATCAGAAGTTAAATCACTTGCCTAGGGTCGGTCACACAGCTAGCAAGTGTCTGAGGCTGAATTTTAACTCAGGTCTTTCTGACTCTGTGTTCAGTTCCTTCTATCCACCGAGCCACCTGCTGACTCCTATAGAGGATAAACAGCAGGTAATTAACAGAGGGAAAGCACTGGAATTAAGAGGGGCTGTGGAAGGCTGCTTGCAGAGCAAGTAATGTGGTGGGAGAAATACAGGATGGTGTAATTGTGTTAAGAGCGCTCATCAATCGGTCAAACAACTAGCATTTTATTAATCGCCTAATATAGACAGGTGGTAAGTGCTGACACATAGTAAACAGTAAATACCTGTGGACTGATTGTTGACTGGCTATTTAGATCAGGAGTTCAAATCCTGGTTTACTTTGTTCGGTCTTCCAGTTGTGTCTGATTCTCCGGACCCCATTTGGGGTTTTCTTGGCGAAGATACTGGAGTGGTTTGACATTTCCTTCTCCAGCTCACTTTACAGATAAGGAAACTGAGGCAAACAGGGTGAAGTGACTTCCCCAGGTAACACAGGTAGGCAGTAGCTGAATAAATACTGATTGACTAGATGATCCCTAAAGATCTGGAGTAAGAGGAAGGAGTTCAAATTCAACTTCTGCAAAGTGTGATTTGGGGGCCCCTCAGGGACCCCAGGGGGCTGGACTTGTAGCTCTAAACACCATGGTCCTAAGAAGTAGCCCTTAGTGGTGGATCAGAAAGAAAGGTGAAAATGAAACCGTCCTGGTCTTTTTTTTTTTTCCCCAATCTTGCTCCGCTCCGTCTCCCTCCCCGCAGGACGCGGCCCCTTTAAGCACGCCCTGGCTACATAACTTAAGCCGCTGAGTTCAGAGAGCGTTCCAGCGCCCGACCGAGCTGAGGAAGTTTGTCCACTTGGGCCCGCCGTCGCGCCGCGCCGCCATATTGTCCGCCGGAGCCGCCGAGGTGTCCTGAGGGAGCGGAGCTGCGCCGGGATGGGTGAGTGCGCGGGGGCCGAGGAGCTCGGGGGCACCGAGAGGCCTCTCCCCACACGGGCCGGAGGCGCGACTCCAGCGGCCTGGGCCGGACGCCGTGTGAGGAGAGGCCGGGGGCCCCTCAGGCCGCGCCGCGGGCTCTGGAGCGGAGCCGGGGCTGAGGCGGGGCTGAGCCGGAGCCGGAGCCGGGGCCGCGGCGGACGCCCCTTCCTCCCCTGCCCCGGCTCCTTGCTTCCCCTGAGGGGACCGGGGACGCCTCCCTGAGCGCTGACAGAGGGGGCTGGCGGCCTCCGGGACCTGCCGCCGGCATGGGGGAGTGGGTGCCATTCCCCGACCATTCTCCCTTCAGCCTCCCGGAGGGAAGGGACGAGCGCCCGCTTCTCCCTGCCCTCCCCGCTCCTCGCTGCCCGGGACCCTCCCGGGGGAGGCAGCGCCGATGCTCGGCCCAGACCCTCCTGGTCTTCAGTAGTGCGTTAGGGTCGCGTGGGAGGAGACCGGTCTAGCGCCTAGCTCCGTGCCTGGCACATGGTCGGCGCTTAATAAATGCTTATCCCCTCGCATCTCTGTCCTCCGGGAGACCTGTGGCTCTCCCCTTCCCCCACCCCGCTTATACTGCTACTGCTACTACTACTGCTACTACTGCTACGCATTTATAGACCACTTTAAGGTTGCCCCGCACTTTTGCATAGATTAAGTCGTTTGACATATCTCCCCTCAACCCCAAACCCTGTAGGGTTGGTGCTGTCAGTGGATGCAGAAGCTCGACCTGGGGTCTGGGAGACTGGAGTTCAAATCCAGCCTCAGGCACTTGAGGTGCTTAGCCTCATCTGTAAAATGGAGAGAATGATAGCACTCCTACCCCCACCCCCCAGGGTTGTTGTGAGGATAAAAAGAGATGTATATGTATATGTGTGTATATGTGTATACATATATATGCTGTTTGGGTTTTTTTAGTCCACATTTTTATAGATGAGGAGACTGAGGCACAGAGAAGCTAAATAACTTGCCAAGAGTCACCTCCTACCTAGTACATGTCATTCCCTGGAGACCTAGCCGATTAAATGAGTTCAGTGTGATGCTTTTGTGGGGCTAGGGGAGATAAATTAGTTGTAGCTGGGGCTTCCTGAGTAATTTAACTAAGAGATTGATCCCAGCTCTGATATTCCCCGTACCACTTAGGTGAACTCATCTTCTGGAGCCAAACCACAGTTCCTTGTACATCAAATCAATTTTAAGTGCTTGTTTGAGTTTGAACCTTACAGGTAAGGAGAATCTAGTCAGGTGAAGAAACTGGCTCAGGGTCGCACAGCCTTAGTGATAGCTGGGACTTTAAAGCAGACCTCTTGACTCAGACTTTATGTTTCAGGACCTGAGGAAGAAACTTGCTAGTGTTCTTAGTTCAAATATAAGGTGAGGAAGCATGGATAGACAGATATAAGACATTCTGAAAAAAGATCTTAGGGTTTCAATGGCCTGCAAATTCAATACAAGTCAGTAGTGTTATGTGTCAGCTAAAAAAGTTAATCCCTACCCCTGGCTTTATTAGGAGTGAAATAGTCTTTGGAAGTAGGGAGGCTATACACATACCACACTCTGTCCTTATGTCTGCAGTACTGTATTTAGTTTTAGACACTACTGTTTAAGCAGGATATTGATAAATTGAAGAATGTCCAGAAGTAGACAAGTCAGCTAGGGAAATAAGGAAAAATACATTTATTTAGTGTATCACAGTCTTGTGAAGTAGATGATATTATTAGCATTTTTTACAGTTGAGAAAACTGAGGCAGAGTTAAGTGACTTGCCCAGAGTCACAGTGGTAAGTGTCTAAGGCTGGATTTGGCTTCAGGTCTTCCTGAACAGGGTCCGTATTCTGCATACTGTACCATCATCTGCCTGATTGCCTATAAAGGTTAAGAAATACGGCCTGTTTAGAAAAGGTAAGAAATAGGGAAAGAAGATTTGGAGGATGAGATGTCAGCAGCACTAAGAGAAGTGGCTGGAAGACATGGTGGGCTCCTCCTTTCTGGAGACTTTCACAGGTCAGCTGGACAATTGCTGTTTGGGGGAGTGGCCTTACTTTTGTGTGTGGGTCCAGGTAGATGACCTCGTCTGTGATTCCACTTTGTATCTATCCTCTTGTGCTGGTATTCTGTGAGTAATTGGATGGATCCTTTGGAAATGTGGAACTGAACTTGGGAAGAACTAGTCCAATGCAGGCACAACAGGTTGTAAAAATGCTTCACTAATAAGTAGAATTGAAAGTTCCACACCTGCCCTTTATTGGTACAATCGTTTTGGATTGAAATCTTACAAAAGTTAAGCAGAGAATAAATTGGGTCAGAAAGTATTTACTTTTCCTTGAGAGCGAAGGGGTATTTTGGTTCTCTTAACTGGCAAGTGCTCTTGGGCTTCTCTTGCCCGTCTAGTCAGTCAGCAAGCATTTGTTAGGCACTTACTGTGTGCCAAGCACTGCACTTAACCCCGTATCCAGAGTAGGGCCAAAACATGTTCAGCAAGTAGGCCAGGATAGCTGGAGCACAGAATTGTTGGAGAGGGGGTGAGTTAAAGCATCAGAAGACAGAAAAAGTAGTCTGGGACTAAGTTGTAAAGTGCTTTCAGAGACAAAAAGGCTGGCTTCCCGGCGGTCTGCAGGACAAGTATGTTACCCCTACCTTGTGTGAACGGGTGTATTGATTAAGTAGTTATCATTTCAGTCAGTAAATCAGCTAGCATTTAACTAGGCTCCTAGTGTGTGCCAGTAACTGCTAAGTGCTAGGGATGCAAAGGAAGGCAAAAGACAGCCTGCCCGAAAAGAACTCAGTCTGTGGGGAACACAACATGCAGACAGCTAAGTACAGTTAGATATAGACAAAATAAATTGAGAGTAATCCTAGAAGAAAGGCATTAAGATTAAGGAGGACTAAGTGAGGCTTCTTGCAGAAGGTAGGACTTTAGCTAAGACTTGAAGGAAGCCAGGTAAGCTAGGAGGTGGACATGAAGGAGAGCACTCCAGATATGGGGGACAGCTAGTGATGATGCTCAGAGTAGGGAGATGGAGGGCAGCAGGGAGCAAGGAACCGAAAGGAAGCCGGTGTCTGGATTGCAGAGTACATGAAAGAAGTAGTAAGGTGGAAGAAGACTGAAAAGGTAGGAACAGGCCAGTTTATGAAGGGCTTTTAAAGCCAAACAGAAGATTTCATATTTCATACTAGAGGCAATAGGGAGGCATTTAGAATTGATTGAATAGGGGGGTGATATGGTCAGGAAGACTCATCTACCAAAGTTCCAGACCAGCTTCAGACACTTACTAGCTATGTGACCCTGGGCAGGTCACTTAATATTGTTTGCCTCTGTTTCTTCAGCTGTAAAATAAGCTGGAGAAGGAAATTGACAAACCATTCCAGTATCTTTGCCACGAAAACCTCAGATGGGGTCACAAAGAGTTGGACACAACTGAAATGACTGAAGAACAACAAAAATGGTCATATTTGATCTTTAGAAATATTACTTTGACAGCTGGGTGAAGGATAGACTGGAGGGGAAGAATCTTGAGACTTTCAGGGAGACCAGCCAGCAGGCTGTTGTGGTGAGAGGCCCAAGTGAGAGGAGATGAACGCTTGTACTAGAGTGGTGGCAGTGTTGGAGGGAAGGAGGCATGTATGGGATGTTTTTAACAAGGTGGAATAGATGGACTTGACAATTAATTGGATGTCAATAAGGAAGCATTTATTAAGCACCTGCTTGTGTGTCAGACACTATGCTAAGGGGCTAGGGATGCAAAAAAAAAGTCAAAAGATGGTCCCTGCCCTTGAAGAGTTCGCAGTCTAATGGGGAGACCACGTGCAGACAACTGTGTACAAACAAGCTATAGACAGGATAAATAGGAAATAATTAACAGAGAGAAGGCACTAGAAGTAAGAGAGACTGGGAAAGGTTTCCTGTAGAAGATGGGATTTAACTTGGGACTTGAAGAAAGCCAGGGCAGCCAGGAGGTGGAGATGAGGAGGGTGACCATGCCAGGTACCAGAAGCAGAAAAAATACCTGGAGCTGAAAGATGAAGTGTCTTATTTGAGGAGCCACAAGAAAGCCACTGTCATTGGATCAAAGATTACGTAGAGGCATGTAAGATGCAAGAAGACTGGAAAGGTCGGGACTGGGGAGCTAGGTTATGAGGGGCTTTGAACAGCAAACAGAATTTTGGAGGTGTTAGGGAGTCACTGGACTTTATTGAGTAGGAGAGTGACATGGTTGGGCCTGCACTTAGCTGAATAGAGAATGGCCTGGAGTGACAGGGAGACGAGGTAGGCCAACTAGCCAGCAGCATATTACAGTAGAGCAAGCATCAGTTAGTGAGGACCTGCACTAGGGTGGTGGCATCACAGAGAAGGGGGCATATATAAGAACAGAGGTGAAATCTACAGGCCTTTGCAACAGATTGGCTAGGAGGGGTGAGAAATGTCAAGGGTCAAGGATGACACCTAGGTTTTGAGCCTGGGGGATTGAGAAGATTCCCCTCAACAGTAATAGGGAAGTTTGGGAGAAAAGATGATGAGTTCAGTTTGGGGCATGTTAGCTTAAGCTGCCTTTTGGACGTGTTGGGCTTACATTTATGGGGGAGATACTTACAAAAAGGAGCTGAAAAGAGAGGAGGGATGGAAATAAGTCCAAAAAGTCAGAAGCAGAGAGAGTCCAGAGGACGATGAAAGTTGGTCAGCCTGGACCTTTTCCCAAAATGAAGGTCCTGAGGGGCACTTACTAATCGGAGTAGGAGGGCTGCATGGCTGCAAGATGTTCTCTGAAAGTAGGCCCCACATCCTAAAAGAGGTTCTAGGGTGAGACAACAGCCTTGTAGTCCAGAAAAAATTACAGCTATATGTATTATCAGTAAAGTACATAGAGCTGGTGTTATGCAGACTTCTTAGAGGTTATGGCTCAGAAGGAAGTATTAGAATAAAAAACTCTCACTTGGAAGGGACCTTAGAGGCCATTTAGTCAACCCCTAC